TGTGGCCACCTAAGTAAATCACCTGTTCCGGTTTAAACACCCAGGCAGTATCACAGCCCTCTCACATATCAAATGAGATTTGTGTGGCGCATGCGTGTTTAGTGCCTTCTTGTACCAATATATATGTGTTAAAATAAATAAAAATAATAATCCAATATATATATATATATATATATATATATATATATATATATATATATATATATATATGTCTTTACTAACTAGTATCTTACAATATGGTAAAAAAATCGTTTAGGTATCCACGATGGATACTATATCCATCGATTTGTAAAACTCTTTTACTTAAGGTGATAATTTCAAAAATGAACCATTCAACGAATTGAGTTCATGTCCTTTTGTATATATATGATACATTGAATTATGTACAGTTATGCGTGTAACTATCCCAGGACAGGGTTGGATAGAGAATGCTGGTGAGTGGCCTATGCTCCTTCGCGAGGAGTAACAGGCGTAAGTAAGTAAGTAAATAATCATGTAACTATACTAATTTGTCTGAATTAGTTCAAATCAAATAAACCATTTTAACTCATTTTAATGAAACTCTATTGATCCTGTATGTCTATGACCTTAACTAATAATGTATGTTTCATGAAACAAATACTTGGAAACATTCATTAATTATTATTCAATAAATGATTTCAACTATTCTATGTCTAATATAAGAAGTTTGTAAAGACCTAAACATTTACATTAGTTTTAATTATGATCTTATTTGAACTAGATCACTAATTAAAAAGAAAAAAAACTCAGTAACTGTTTCGTCCGAGTAAAAGCCTCATCAGCAGTGCTAATTTATAACCATAACAGAGGAGATTGAACTTAAAATTTTCAGTCTTGTACCGAATGCTTAACCTCCAGATTAAAAGTTTTATTAACTTTAAGATTCGAATCTTGAATTTCTAACAAGAAACTATGATAAATAGAGGTCAACTATATCGAGTGTGATACAATTACCGAACACAGGTAATTGAAGATGATCGTAAATTGATTAGGGTAAGTAAGATATGAATACAATTCACTAGTCACTCATTGGTTTAGAGATTAGGTGTTCTATTCGAGACCTAAAGTTTTGATTTGGTTCACTATAATGATATCAGGTTTGTTCACTGATGAGAAATTCCGTAGTACTTCGAAACATGTTGAATGCAAGTGCATTTCATTGACTAAGCAATGGATTAATTTTCTAAGGATTAGGGTGCTATATGTATATGAATGAGTATTAGCACATTTTAATCGGTTGTACAATACACTTTCTCGCTCAAGTAGTCAGTTGGAGGGCTAGCGCGTAACAGGCCGTATATCAGTGTCAGATTTCAGACATTACGTAGTACAACACTGTGCATCACCGAACTTTCACAGTATTCTTTGATGACTATTGTGCCACAACAATGAACCTACAGAATCAATAGTAGTTCTCTGAATGTTAATCGTCCTTGTTTCGACAAGCATACAAGATAACCTACCGTACTTACTAGATACACATTGTCATGAATATTTTATATCCCGAAATAAAAAAAAACATGGTCATACAGAGATAATTAAACATGTAACGACAAGGTAGTCAAAACGCTCAACTGCTGGAGACTTCCATGGAAATATGTTTTTGTTATATCCCGATAAGAATAATGAATGGTAACTTTTAGGATCCATTTATGGATCATTACTACACGTATATTTTTATCGTTTAATTGGTAAATAACTAAACTATTCATATTCATATCCCTCTTACCATAAGCTTTATTTTGACTTATGAACTATTATGATACGACTTACCATTCTTGAGTTATGCCCAGTCTATCAATTACTACCTCCCTCATTCACAGCCACTTTGGGTCAAATCTTGTACAAATGTTGTTTCCTATTTTATGGTACGATGTAGTCTGTCTGGTTGGTAATATAAACTCAGTATGTTTGAAATAAATGACTCGTATCGCAGCGGCTGAGATTGATGTTCTGGACTCTAACAGGCTGGTCTAGGCGGAAAGCAGGACCAATAAACACTCTAGACTACTCGTACATGTTTTAGGTGTTATTGGTCTGATTGATAATTCGCTATTCACTAATTGGCGGTATCATTATGTTATACAATAAACAGGGACAAACAGGTCACAAGTTATAACAATTTTACACAATTAAAGCTGAGGTGGTTACTTGTATGGTAACAAACGAAAATAAATTAGATCAATGTAATTTTGTAAAACATAACGTTCTTACAATCTTAATTCGTTAATTGATTGACCAGAGTGGTACATGTTTAAATCAACTACACGTAACAGTAAGTCAAATTTCACTACTAGTTTAATCAATCAAAAGGGTGAATTATTCAAAGTTTATCTATTTAAACATGATATTGTAGTTCATTTTTTTTAATGATTATTTCAATCTACTCCAGGACTCGAACCCAGTACCGTTCGGTACAAACTCCATCACGTTATTCAATTGTAGTTCTAAACATCAATGGGATAATTCAAATAATCAATACAACAGTGAATTAAACTTTATCTCATCTAAGCTAGTGGCAATCTGGAATCAGTAATAGAGTGGGTAACGTAGTGGTGCCTGAAATGAATATTACTAGGTTCGAGTGTACAAGTGAACATTAACTGAGGGATACAGGTACATCTAGGCTGACGAGTCCTAAATAGGACGAAATAGAGTCTTGGATTCCACTACTATCCACCATCATCATTTCTGATGATAATATTGTGATATTTACACTCAATAACAATCCAACAAATCTATGCTTTAAGTATTGGGTTTAAAAGAGATTATGGAGTTTTCATTGTTTAATTTACGAACTGGTCTTACATAAATGACCAATAAAAATTCGAAATCATTGAATAACTGTCCCATTCTAGAATGAGATTCCTCATCAGTGAACAAGTATGATATCATTATGGTGGACCAAATTCAAAACTTTAGGTCTCTAGTCGAACACCTAATCTCTAAACCAATGAGTGACTAGTGAATTGTATTTATATTTTACTTACCCTAATCAATTTACGATATTACACGATCATCTTCAATTACCTGTGTTAGGTAATTGTATGGGATGGGGTGGCTAACTCCATGCCTACTTCTAATTGTTTGTCTAGGCTTGAGATGGGTAGTAGCCTCATAGGGGCTCCAGGAGGAGTATTTTTTAAGTATTCATCTAATTACTTATACTTTGGAAATTCCTTTAGCCTTAGTAAGGATGTGACTGGCAAGATCTCAACATAAATACTATAAGTTGGTTTGATTTTTTTTAGTTCTCAAATGCCGTGGCATGGCCGAGAGTGGGGAGAGTTAGCTCTCCCACTCCAAATACTCTCACATGGCTAGAAATATATATCCACTACCAGAGAAGTCCTACTAACTGCCTTCTTATGGCATTACTGTTGTTTACGAAACTGAGAGGTTGTGAGGCGAATGTTTGGGTATTTAACCGGGTTAGTGGATATTAAATTGGAAAACCTTCATTTCAAACCAATTGTGTACATGGACTCTAGTATCCCGAAGGAACAAACGGTGTATGGATCTATTGTTGGTCACCGTCTACCATGTGATGTTGCTCCACTTCCTCGCCGATCAAACCATTAGGTCAAAGGCTCCGGTTGTGGCTCCTTAAGTAAACTATGCGCATCGATCTGGGCACCCGGCCAGTATCACAGCCCACACACAAATCAATTGATTTATGTGGTGCATATGTATTTGGTGCCCCTTGTACCAATATTTATATGTTCAAATAAATAAATAATGTTATCTATGATGATAAATACAAACAGATATAATAACTATTTGGATGGTTATTCTTTCAAAGGGTAGTTTTCGAACATCTAGCCATCTAAGTTCGACCATACTTTACATAAAACTCAAGTTCAAGATATGAACTATTAGATGCTAGCTCAATAATCTGAATTGAATAACATGGTCGCTTCTATATTAGAAATTATGAGTTTTATCGTTGTTGGAGTCGAGTGCCAGTTTGTGTTTTTGGGCGAAAACGGGTGTCAGCCAAGCGTCAGTATCACCATCAGAAGTTTATAGCCAAAGTAAATAAACATCGTAAGAAGGAGGGAAAAGACCCATTGCCTAGATTAAGGACTCTTAAACCAGAAAAAGTGGCGGAGAAACCCAAAGCACGATTTTCGCGTAGTTATGTAACCCAACAGGAGAAGGAGAAGCTACGTCTGCGAAAAACAAAGTGCTTCTCTCAACACTTTTGGATGATTCCTTCCAGTATACAGCTGAGTCGGGGATAACGGACCAGAATAGCTTATCGAGTCTCTGAATTCTTGATCCTTCGTTCCGTTCCGAATAAGCCGAATCAGTAGTAGCATTCAGGCTTAACGGACCTAACACAATTGTTCCAAATTTGTATACTAGAACGAAACCGTCAGTAAGCATCAGCTCCCTGAAGATTACAGGTACACCTTGTTGACTAGTGCCAAATAGCATGCAACCTGAGTTCAGGGTTTCCTGTTGACTGCCTCTAACTACTATCGTATCTCAAAATAATACATGCGATTTCGAGCCAAGTAGACTGGTGGCCACATTGCAACTTGGTTAATAAGATTCGATTCTTACTAGGAAGGACCTGACATGATTAATCAATTGTAAATACGGTTTATGATCTTTCTACTTAAAATACAATAACGCCAAAATTGCATAATAAGAAATATACTACTAATAAGTAGTTCATCTTTTTTAAAATAAATAAACAATGGAGTCGTATCAGGTCTGTTGAGATAACATCTCACTGAAGACAATGGTGTACAGTGGTGCAATTTTATGGCTTGGTTAAAGTTAGATATTAACATCGTTTGATACCGGACAGCTCAGTAGTCTAATAGTTAAGTGCTCGCGCATGAGATTAATAAGTTCTGGGTCCGAATCTCGCCGAGTAGGGAGGGGAGCGTGATCGTGAATGCGCACTGCTTAGGAGTCCCACAATGGGACGAAACGACCATTCACTGCCTCCAGGTTTTCCATGGTAGTCTAGCTTCAATTGACTCATGATGTGAACTATTGAAATAATTATTTGTTTGTTAGAGATTCATGAAATCACTTAAAACATACATACTCATTAATCACTGAAACTAAGAAGAAACAATTACCCCCACCCTATAGATTTATTTCTCAGAAACAAATTACACCCTGTTTCAATATTAGAATGATTTGATTTTACTTTCAATACATCAATATAATGTTGTACAAGGGTAAAAAGAAGTAAGAAGACAAGATAATCATTTAGTAACCTGAGTTATAAATAATCAAATGTCATTTGTATTATTATTATGATTATTAATTCACATCAATGAATTATTGAATAGTCTATTTACAATATGATGAATGTAAATTATACTTGGATGATGAGGATATCGAAGTAGTACAACAAGAATATGGGGTATCAATTAATTTCGGTGTGATTAAAATTGTTTTATTGATATTTTCATCATTGAATGTTTCGATTCTTGGTAAAGATAAACTATGTACATCTAAAATAATCATAAATTGAAATAAATAGGTTAACTGTAGTATATATATATATATATATATATATATATATATATATATATATATGGAGAGAGAGAGAGAGAGGGAGATAGTGCCCCCAAATGCCCTTGTATGGCCGAGAGTGGAGTGGGCCCGCCCTCCCTTTCGAAATGATCTCACACGGCCACGCGTATACAGCCTCTGCCAGGGAAGTCCTACTCACTGCCTTCTTGTGGCCACAGTGTTGTTTACGAAAATGAGAGGACGAAACGCGAATGTCCAGCGCTTTAACCGGATCTCAAACCATGGACTCCAGTATCCTGAGTAAACGAATGGCGTATGAACCAATCGTTGGTCACCGGCTACCATGGGAATGCATCTCCTCACGATGCTCCATTGCCTTGTGGGTCAGACCTTTAGGTCAAATGCTCGGGGTGTGACCCCCTAAGATAACCAACTGCTTCGGTCTGGGAACCCGGGCAGTATCACAGCCCACACACACAAATATGGTGTGGCGCATATATATTTGGTGCCCTCTTGTACCAATATCCATGTGTTGAAATAATAAATAAATAAATAAATAAAGGGAGAGAGGAAGAAAGGTGTGTTGAATAAAAAATAATCTATATTCATCAGTATGGGAGTTGTGGAGATTATTAAGTTGTTGATTGAAATCATGAACTGATTGATGTTAGACTATTATTGAAAATTTGGATACAGTGTTTGACGGCTGTTTAATCTTATTGTGGGACTTCTCAACAGTGTGTATTGACGATTTCGCCCGCGGAATTCGAACCCAGGGCCTTCAGACATTTATGTAGGTTATAAGCTTTATGAGGTTTGTTTTGTTTTTTATTATTGAAAAGTAACCATAAGTGTTACTACTTATTTAAATATTCATTTGAACACGTAAATATTGATACAAAGGATACTGAATATATATGCGCCATACACGTCACTTGGCTACTGTGTGAGCGCCTGGGTGCCCAGACCGAAGCAAGTGATTTCATTAGGGGGCCACAACCCGAGCTTTGAACCTAAAGATCTGATCCACAACATAGTGGAACAAAATAAGGAAATGCAATAATATGGTAGTCGGTGACCAACAATAGGTTCATACGTCATTTGTTCCTTCAGAATCCTGGAACCCATGTATACCATTGGTTTGGAATCAGGGTTTTCCAACTCCCCTAGGCGGATCCTTCATATACATCAACCCGGTTAAAGTGTCGGTCACTCGCTTTTTGTCCTTACAATTTCGTAAACAACAGTAATGCCACGAGAGGTCAGTGAGTATTACTTCCCTGTCAGTGACTGTATATGTGTGGTCATGTGAGAGAATTTAGAGAGGGAGAACGGACTCTCCTCACCGTCCTCCGTACTAGGGCGTGTATTACACTTTCTGAACATATCAAGGTCTATTATCAGAGTATCTTTTATAAACATATCATATGATTGTTAAGGATGTTGTAACGGGATGAAAATAGGGAAAGTTGAGACTTTTAAAGCTATTATTCGGATAGTTATTATTACCTATATCTTTATTGCTTCACTAATAGATAACTGTATAAATACATTTTCTCTTACCGTAAATTTTCAATGGATCTATCAACTTTCATTATATGTTTTATTATCCTTTAGTTATTAGAAATAATTATATAAGGTTTGTTTAGCTCTGTACCATATTTGATAAGATTGTGTTTATATGAGGAAGGTACACAGGTGAACTCAAGGAAGCTGTAAGAAGCTCAGAAAGAGTCAAAGATATTCCATGTAATCACTTTTTGAAAGAATATTCTAGAATCCCTATGTGTAGCTTCCCGAATGGACAATGTTAATAACCCCCTGTATGCAGATTGGAGGACTGTAATGATTTCGTTTCTTACTAAAAACTATAAATACCTGACAGTCTTGTACTATAATTGACACTGTCTGGAATAACGTTTTCCTTTCGCTTGTTTTCTGTTTTCCCATTGCGAATTGAAAGGGTTCTAGCGTTCTAGTGCTCAAGTTATACGCGGTATATCAAGAATATAAGCTTTAGATATAACAGTTTAGAGTATGAATTCTTATTTGATGTACATTATTATTACATGTGTTTTGAGTTATTTAATGAATTGAGTATAATAGAGAAGTAATCTGCTTTCTATCTTCATCGTCTTGTTAACCACTGTATAGAAGAAGTGTTAATATCTTGAGTTGTTGTTCATTGATCAATGTGTCAATTGATGCTCAGAAGATCATCGGTTCTACTGGCGACACAGAACGTGATATCTATTAATGCTTTAAGCCGTAACAACAAGTTAATTAAGATCCTGACGAGTGGTTATATGAAAGAGTCTTTATATGATTTATTCTTTCTTTCAAGATAATTACATATGATGGAAAGATAAGGGAATTCTTGAAATAAGGTCATAGATTAGATATTCAAAAGCTTATTCATGAATATATGTCCCCCAGAAAATCGAGCTGAATTCATAACCAATAGTATATATATGCTAACCGGGGTTGCAGATGGTTGGAAGAAAGTTAGGGGCGGCCAAACCAAAACGTGGCATCACTGCTTGTAGTCATTAACTTCTAGTCTGAGTCATGTTGGTAGATACAGACTACTTGGTTGGGGTCCACGTGACTATCGTAATCAATGGTTGGAGACTCTTGGTGACATGGCTCAGAATCGATCACAATGGCGTAGGTGTATACACTCTTTGTCTTCCCTTAAACTAAGAGATTAAAATCGCTTCATATCTTTCTTTCTACGAAGTAATTCTTTCTTCCTGTACTATATCCTTATATACCATCTTTCTTTTGTATATTACCCCCATTGAAGTTACTACGTCTATGAATCCGGTGTTCATCTTGTTGTGCTAATGAGCTATGGCAACTTGGACCGATGCATATATGTGCCTGGTCCTACATTGTAGCTGACTGACTGACTCTTAGAAAGTCAATTTAAATATTGACCAGTAACGTGTATTTGATTTTATCACTTACTGATCGTTTAGTCTTAAATCAATATATCTATTAATCTAGCCTATAGATCACGTGGTTTATTGTACATGAAAGTCATAACAAAGTTATTCAACTATACATTGAACAATTCACTGTAATTAATGTGCTTTCATACAATATTGTCAAATACTTGTCGTCATTTCATTTTTATACTTCTATTGAAGTTAGACATTAACACCGTTGGATGCTGGCCAGCTCAATGATCTAGAGGTTAAGCGTTCGCGCGTGGGATTGATAAGTTCTGGGTTAGAATCTTGCGAGGCAGGATCATGGATGCACACTGTTGAGGAATCTCACAATAGGATGATACGGCTGTCGAACAGCACTTCCAGATTTTCCATGGTGATCTAGTTTCAAATGACTTATTATCTCAACTATTGAAATTACTATAATATCCATTAAAACCCCTTCAGATATTAATCAACATATGCTCACTAGTGACTGACTTCAAGTGGTATTTCCTGAAGTTCCAGTGAGAAGCAGTGATCAGTGGAGTTCAATCGGGTCTGTTGTGAGATAGTAACTTATTGAAGACAATGGTGGATGTGTCGATCAATTTCGTGATTAGTTGAAGTTAGACATCAACACCAGCTCAACGGTCTAGATTTAAGCGTTCGCACATGGGACGGATAAGTCCTGTGTTCGAATCTCGCCAGGAAGGATGGTGGATGCACACTGTTGAAGAATCCCACAATAGAACAATACGACCGTCAAACAGTACTTCTAGCTTTTTTCATAGTGATCTAACTTCACTTGTCTCATATTTCAACCATTACAAAATGAAACACATACACACACATACACTTACAAGTTGGAATACAAATTGTATTTCTATCACCATCTTCATTATCATCAGTGTTTTCATCATGTAAATATGCTTTAGTTCGACATAAATTATCACATTTATACATAACATTTGATGTATGCAATAGAGATGTTGGATGATCATATGTGTAATGGTGTTCTAATTTATGAGGGATAAATGAATTCAATCCATTATTATTACTGAAAGCTTCGTCTAGATCGTGTTTACCATATTTTGAGTAAGTAAAGTTCTTTCTGTTGCTATCATGGTATCTCTGTGTACATCTCGGGTAGTAACCATCACTATTATTATTATTATTATTATTTGGTGGCAGTGTTTCAAATGATGTCAACTGATTATATTGTTGTATTGATAATAGATTACATGAATCATCCTCCTCATTGTCATGACGATGAGGATGATATACATTTTGATTGGTTGATTGACATTTTAAACAAATTTGATTGGTTAATTTGGTGGTTTGTTTAAATGAACAATATTCGATGATGATAAATAAAGTTAAATATAAAGTGAATATACTTATAAATATTGTAAGTAGTAAATCTGTAAATGAACAAAAAAATATAAAGAAAACAACAATGAAAGTTCCAATTTTTTTAAAAAAAGTGAAAATGTTACGTATTTTTTGTGATTGAGATCATGAATCGATTGATGTTGGATCATCATTGTAAACCTGGAAGCACTGAAGGGCAACTTCGTGGATTAGTTAAAGTTAGACATGAACACCATTGAATACCGACCGGCTCAGTGGTCTAATAAGTTAAACGTTCGCACGCGAGACTGAAGGCCCTGTGTTTGAATCCCCCGAGTGGGATCATAGATGAGCAGTGCTGAGGAGTCCCACAATAGGACAAAACGGCCAAACAGTGCTTCCAAGTTTTCAATGGTGGTCTAACATCAGTCGGTTCATGATCTCAACCAAAAACTTAATAATCTCTGCAACCCCTAAACTGATTGTTATACATATTCATTTAAATAATATTATAGTGTATACTACTGATATTGACAGATATCAGTAGTATGTGTGTATCATCAATCGAAACTCAAATGTCTGGTAGAAGAAGGTTAAGAAAATGGAAGAAAAGAGAATGAGAATAGAGAGTGATTAATGTGAAAATGAAGAATAGTTAAGTTTGAGATAGTTGATTGGCATTTTAAAAATGA